GTTTGCCATGTAGCTGCGATTTTTATAGTCCTCTTTTTATAGTCTGCGTAATTTACTGATGCACTATGTAGGATGGAAAGAAAAGTTTGTCCGTGACCATCATGAGTGAATTTTATGTCTTTGAGTTCATGAAAATACATATAAGAAATCAAAATTGCCCTTGACCTTGAATTTCAAGAGTTTTTTTTTGCATTTTGTATTCTACTTATCAAGAAGATGAAACTTTTGCAAGGAATCATAGATCGCAGGCTAATAGTTCTTTTGAAAAATGGCAAAAGAGTTTCTTAATCATGCGGACGCGTGCGTTCTAACAGCGACTTTATTCCTCCAGTTGTGAACGCGTGGACGTAATCTTTATATTCCGAATAATGTTAACAGTTAGTTTTATTATTTGATATGATTCGATTTAGACTCACATTGATGCTGCAACTATGATAAATCAAATGTTAGCGAAACCTAATCCAGAACCATAAAGTCGCTGTTAGCACGCAATGTCAAATGATTAAGAAACCAATTTTCAAGAGAACTATCAAGTTGCGACCTATGGTTCCTAGGAAAAGTTTTATCTTCGTGATAAATAGAACACAATATATAGAATAAATAGAGTACAGAATGAATAGAAATAATAGAAATAAAATAAACAGAATACAATGCAAGGAAAAGGAAAAAAAAAGAAAAATTGCGACAGGTTCTTTACATATATTTCCATCAAATCGAAAATGTGAAATTCATCTATGATTACCACGGACATAAAATTTTTCTTTCCACCCTGTACATAAAACAATAGACTGATGTCACGAACGCTATTTCGAACGTGTGCTGCGCGTCGATCCGGCCAGACGTATCCCCCCGCATGATCTTCTTTTTCGAAGTCCAGGCAGATCGGGGATTTACCTTTGACCGTGACATGAAAGGAATTAGAGCTTAATAAATTTCGGGCGTCGAGGCTGCGTCCGTCCGTCCGTCCCTCCCCCTATTCGATTCCGTGAGTGTATCCAGGAGACGAACGATAATATACGATTCGGCGAAGCGCGAATCGTGCTCGCTGGAAACGCGCGAAAGAGATTCTTCGGTGAGATCGGTCGGTTCCCTGTCGCGGCGGCCCTTTGATCTGGTCTACCCTTCGAATTTTCATTCCCTTCGTCGCCAGCCCACCCTATGCTTTCCTCCGTTAATTCCTCTTTTTTTCTTTTTTCCCCGAGCGGTGACACGGCCCCGGCCCCAGCCCCAGCCACGGTAATAAGCGCGTTGCCAGCTCGCTCTACCGTTTAAACGAAAGAAACATTCCGCTTCTTTCTTCCCGTGTTCCCATCAACCAAATGCATAACCAGCGGCCGGCGCTTTCGCGAATCGAAAGTTCCAGGTTTTTTTTTTTTTTTTGTAAACGATCGCGAACGACTCTGAATTCTAAAAATTCTGACGTTCCTCCTTCGTGGAAAATATATCGCGGTATAAAGCGGAATGCATCCTGATATTTCTGTCTTCTAGTATTTACTTGAAACTCCGATCTTCTGGTATTTAAAAACTCGAACCTCTGACCAATTTGAAACCAATTAAAACAAGAGGCATTCCACTTTAATTTTGTATTATTGGAAGAAAGGAGATTTGATGATTTAACTAGAACTCTGAAAGCAGATGCAGTCTAACATTTATCAGATTTGGCAAATACGAATTTAAGAACTTGAAACTTCGAGTTTCAATCAATTCGAAACTAGTCGGAACAAGAAACATTCCTCTTTAATTTTGTATTATTAAGAAAAAAAGGAGATTTGATGACTTAACTGGAAATCTGAGTGGAAGTAAAGTAAACACATTCATATCTTTTAGTATTTAAGAACTTGAAGCTCTGATCTTCTAGTTATTTAAGAAGCTAAAGCTCCATTTTAATCAATGTGAAACTAATCGAAATAAGAAATATTCCCCTTTAATTTTGTATCAATATTATTGAAGAAAAGGAGAGTCGATGACTCAACTGTGGAAATCTGAAGGTACCGTGACAAAGTGCACAAGTAGCATGCATCCTGACATTATCACACATCGGATATCTTCTGATATTTGGCAAACACGATTTAAGAACATGAAGTTCCGAATTTTGATCAATTTGAAACTAATCGGAACGTATTATTGAAAAAAAAAGAAAAAAGAAAAAAGAGATTTGATGACTTAACTCTGGGAGATCTGAAAATAATCTCTCCATTCTGTACGCGCACAGTTCAATCGTACCGACCAGTAGCACGAAGAGGTTTCATCTTTGTCCGGATCACCTTACTTAATCCATAATCGACCGAATCACGGGTCGAGGGCTCGTATTTACAGCGAGAGGAACCGGAGATATCTTCCATGACAAATCGAATAATTGCAGAGCAAGCTACAGGTCCTCGGGGGATCTCGGTGAAACTATCGGGTTACCGGGAGCCACCCCTGCCCTGTCATGGAAAAAATAAGCAACTCGATCCAGCCAGAAATTTTCAGATACTCGATGTTATATACCTAACAGGGCTGTCAACGAATCCTTCAAATTATTGTTATCTACTCGTGGAAATAAATCATTGGTTTCTTCAGAATCGAATAACATACTAACATACTGTATACCCGTACAATTAGATTGAGAAATGCGAACGAAAAGTAAAATTGGTTAGTACGATTTCTAAGAAATTCTATTCTGGACTGTTGACTTGATAACACGTGTCCTCGTAATTCCGATTATCCGGGATCAAGAAAGATTTGGTTCTCAATTTTGGTCTTTATCTACATGAAAAGAAAAATAATACAGTGACGAGCAAAACTGAACACACATATGAATTTTTCACATTAACAATGCTTCAAAGAATGCGAAGAAAGCAAAGTATGTACTGTTTTGTAGAATGTCTCTTTACGACCTTTTCTACCATCACTGGTCTGGCAAATATAATTCTTTTCGTGTAGTTGATTTTGCACCACGATTAACTCAAATGAAAAATTATCGACACTTTAAACTGTTACAATTTCATAAAAAGAATTATGTAACGATCTATCTTATTTTAGTTAGTCTCATTTTAAAACGTGTGGCTTCCATTTTCACAACACTGAATTCGTCTTTTTTATCCGATATACTTTAACACCACGTAGCAAATGGAAAAGTGTTCCTTTCTTTAAAAAGAAAGTTGCAAAAATACTGAAATGATTATTTTAAATTCATCACTGATATTTCTCCCCTTAAAACTTACTGTACGATTTCTTTTTATTATTCTATAGAGCATTAGAATTAAATGACAAGAATTCAAGAAATTCTGAAATTTCGTCCTTTAAACCTAAACGTTCAAAATTCAATAGAAAAAAATCGCGAAGCGAAGGTTCAAGGAGTCGTTGTAAACAAAACATTTCGATTTTCAGAACCATGGTCAATCAATTGGTGAAAAGAACAGAGATTTGACCAACTTTCAAGAATAAAAGTATTCAAAAGCTACGTTATGTGAAAAAAAAGGAGGAGGACGAACTCAGGACAGTCAGAATAGAAGCTTCAAGCTTTATTAAAACGAGACCAGGTAGATTAATTTTCCCTTACGAAGTAACAACAGTCTAAACTATGGACAATTTTTCACCGCGACGTGTTCAGTTATGCTCGTTACTGTGTAACCATCAGTCGTCGCGCTTTTTCATTCGCAGTGGCAAGATTATCCATCATCCAAGAAACGAGTTTATTCAAACGGAGGACAATTAATTACCAACGTAATTGTTCCACTCTGATACATCGTCGACCCGGTATTTCTTTCCAGGGTCGACGTTTTTTTTTCTTTTTCAATTCCTTTGGCGATTGATGATCGGGAATTAAAAGATGAAAAGATAAGGGAGAAGAACTGGGCTACTTGGCCGTTGTCCAGACGAGCCACTCGCCAAGACGAACGCTACGAGTTTAAACAGAGGAATTGCCGAGGAATAAGCAACGAGCTTGTAATATTTATGGAAAGCCACTGGGGATCCAATTGAATTCGTTATGTATTTTGTGTAATAAGAATGCCTCTGGGAACGGCGCGCCCGTTTGTGTTTTAATCGCAACGATCGAGGTCTTAAGGAAGATTCCGTTTATTGTAATTGTCTGCCGGCCAGACACAACAAAGAGCCATAACTGCACCAGCGACAGTGAACAATTGTCGATAATTTCAACTGATATAATACTGACATGAAAGATCATGTAACCATCTACAATCGACAATCCGTAGTTCATATTTTGTCCAAAAATGTTTTCACATCGTATGGCGAGAAATTGTAAAAATTCAAACACGCGTAAAAAAAGTTTTTTTCATCGCCAGATGTACCATAGTCTTCAAGATTAAAATTTTCTCTTTGCAACGAGAAACTTGCTATTCGATACATATATATATATCTCTTTTCTTTTATTGAACTTTAAACATCGAGGTTAGGTGAAATGTTAGAATTTCTAGAATTTTAATCCCGATCTTGAACGTTCGATAAGACCAGTTTTAATTACAGGAGTAATCAAAACTGAGGTATTAATGTCCTCGCAAATAATATAGGTTACATTGAACTGACAGAAAAATATGTAAACCATGTGCGGTCCTCGATAAATGGCCAACGAGGCCCAGAAGATCTAAAAGGTTGGACTATACACCCATGGTACATAGTACATCCTTGTCAGGACGCGCGACGGTTCGAAATAACAGCCGATCAAAAAATAATGCCCGAAGCCTGGGATGAACGAGAGAAAGGGCGGTTGAAGGGACAAGGTGGCACGACGATACGGCAGAAGAGCAACCCCGGTTGACAGGATCGTGCACAATGAGGATAAAGCGAGTTGAATGCAACGTGCATGCGCTCTCCCTCTCTCCCTCTCTCTCTCTCGCTCACCCACTATCCTTTTCAGGAGTCGTCCGTGTCCGTTTCTCGGAATTTCCATAATCTCTGTGGCCGAGCCTGTGGTCCAGACAGATTTATCCCCGTTCCTCCCCTCCCCCTGCACAATGTCCCCGAGGCAGGTCCCCTCTTTTTCTTTCCTTCTTTTTCCACGGAGCTCTTAAAGCTCTCGAGAGCGAAGGAGCTGAAAGAGGAAGGATGACTGTCAATCACGATGCGCTTTCTCCGAGGGGGGGCTGCACGAAGCACTGTTGTATTCTTCAGAGACAGAATACGCAACGATTATAGGCGTGTAAATGGTCGATCCCATTCTTCTCCCTATTTCAAACATCACAACTACAGTTTCAATCGAGCGAGCGATAGTTCCGAAAAATCGAAAAACTGAGGCCTGACAGTGAGTTTGCGCGGCAGTGTAAAAAAAAAAAAAAAAAAAGGCAAGCGTCGACGGTACTCGCAACCGATTCTCCGACGGGATAAAATGAAATGATTCTCGCTGCCAATCGTGTTCGAAAACCTCCTCTGCCTTGTCTCCTCGTTCTATCGTGTTCAACCTGCGTTTCGTATTTTCACGTCGGAGACAAGAGTCGAGAAAGAGAGAGAGAGAGAGAGAGAGAGAGAGAGAGAGAGAGAGAGAGACTCGTTCTCACCGAATAATTCCGCCAGGAAATGAAATGCCAGGAAAGAGATGGGAATTACGAGATCGTTGTTATTGACCGATGTGCCAGTTCTCGCGACAATTTTTTTTCGTTGCATGAATCGCACGGCTAATCCGCTCAAACAGAGAATCACCCGCGAATCGAGACTAACTTTAGCTTGGTATAGCTGTAAGCCAATTCTTTGCATGCAAGAATTTTGCAAATTGATTGTATTAGGATATTGGTACATTTGTGATTGTGCGTTTCGGGTTACATCTGGTATGGGAGAGAGGACACAAGAAAGACAGGAGTATGTGTGTGATTGATGGTGCGAAACAAAAGAAGACAGAAGTTTTAAGAAGACTGTGTGTAACACGAGTATGGAGTTATAATAAGAGGAACGTGCCAGATACCAAAGAAAAAGTAATATCGTATGAACATTAACAAAATTAAAATTAACACAATAAATATATGTTTATATTAAAGATAATAAATAAAGCCCTAACTTTGCAGATTGTACAATTTTAGTTGGAGTAGAAATTGAAACAAAATCGCGTATACCGAGATAAATTTAGTGGAAGGCGTCCGTGTATTGGCAAAAAAGAAAAGAAAATTAAATGAAACTTGAGAAAAAAATCGCGAGCTACATCGTTCTCGACATTGAACAAACCAGATACTTAAAACAAGCTTCATTTTCCCCAAATTTTCTCAAAAGCCATTTCCACCGACACTCATCGGCAAACAGCTTGTTATTCCACGTCCGCCCAAGAGAATTGTTTATCCAACAAACATATTCCCGAACGATGTCAAAAGAGCGTCGTGACGCTCTTCATTCTCGCAAGACTGTCCTGCCTTGAAGCGTCTAGCTCGAAGCAGTGAACCCGAGAAAGCGAGCGAGCAAACGAGAGAGAGAGAGAGAGGGAGAGGAAGGGAGAGAGAGAGAGAGAGAGAGAGAGAAGCACAGTGGGGTGAGCAACCGTTGGAGGTCGCTTAACACGTGGCTATGACAGTCTCGCCCGTTCGATCCCAGATCCCCCGAGCCATCCTGACCATTCCCCGCGTCCCAATTCAACGGGAATGATGATATCGAGCGACAATAATTGGAAAACTTATTAAACCCTTTCCCCTGGGTCCGGCGTATTATTCTTTGCCCGGACGACTGGCCGGAGTAATCATCTTCGTTGAATACTGTGCCGTTCCTTCTCCGTTTATTGTAAGTTCGATTAATAAGAAAGAAGCGCGAAAGAGTTGTTTGCTCGTCCTTTGTACCTCTGTCCCGGTTGACGGGGTATTGGGGTTGGGGTCTCATCGATAGATAAGGGAGTAGAAGTAACGGGGAATATTCTCAGAACGCCGATATTAATTTTCATTCGTTTAATTATTCCCTTTGCAGTGCCGCGTCGCTTTTGCCAGTTACGCACAAGCTTACGTCAATATTGTATCGTTGTCGTCGTTGCGTGTAGTAGCGTGACTACAACTTTTGGCAATTGCGCAGGGAAAGAGATTTCGATTTCTGTATTAGGAAAAAACAACAGAAACCATTCGTCAAGTCGAATGTTTCATTTTGCAATACTAATTATAAATATCGATCTAATTATTTAGTGAAGTCGAGGCTGACGATCAATGATCTTGATTGGAAGAAAATTGGACATTTTATAAATGCGACACTTATTTAAAGAAACGTAATCATTTATTAACTTAAACTATTAAATGTTTCTTCTTCTTTCTACGAGATACCTGCCTGAGAAAATATTGCTTATACATTCTATTATTCTTGAAATCGTAAAATTTATTAAAAACTTAAAGAAATGTATTATTAAAAACTTAAAGAAATTTATTAAAAACTTAAAGAAATGTATTATTAAAAACTTAAAGAAATTTATTAAAAATTAAAAAAAATGTTATCATTTATTAATTTATTAAACTACTAAATATTTCTTTTTCTTCCTACGAAATATCTATGCTTTATATGTTTTATTACATTATTTTATCATCTTATTATTTTTAATAAATGAAATCACCTTATTAAAACTTAATAAGCGAAATTTATAATATTTATAATTTCGCAATATCAATTACGTTAATACTGCGAACTGTTTGTTGAAAATGCCAAATAAATATCAGCAATTATCACATACACGAAATGCTAACGGATTCAAATATGGCGGCCTCTTACGTGTCATGGCGTCCTTTTGACGCTTCGAAATTCAATCGATCAATATGTCGCGAATAATCGCAATCAATGAATAACTCAGTTTCCCATTTGTACAGAACGCATAAGTAAATGTATAAACGAAACAAATCATCATGTATATATCGCGAATAAAATCATTAACAGGATTATAAATGTTATTTCGAAAGTTCACAACCACAATCAGCAAATATAATAACCAAAATGACGTTCAACGAGAAAATGATAGTTCAACGATGATATTCGATTGCAAATTGTTGGATAAAGGCGTACTTACACATCAAACGAAGTTAACGATGGCGTGGGCACAAACGGTGAAAGGATGACGACGAAAGTATCGCGCAGTTAATAAACGTCATGCGGCGCGATACATCTTAACACCGCGATATCTGACAATAGACTAACCACCCCCAGCGCAACAGGTTCGCGTCGCTGACTAATTTGGCGAGGTGGGGGGTGTACGAATACGATTCGGCTGACTCGTGGAAAACAAATGTTTTCGACAGTGAGCGTTAAACGCTCGTATACACGAATCAATTAATTTTATATATATATATATATATATATATATATATATATATATATATATATATTTGTTGTTTACTTATTAAAGTTAATACATTAATTATTTAATAAATATATGTATATACTTGACTACAATATATATATATATTGAAGTCAAGTATACACATATATTTATTAAATAATTAATGTATTAATTGTAATAAGTAGACAACTTTCGATCTAGCGAATTATACACCTCTGCGTTTCTTATATTTATAACTCGAACAGCACGATGGAATCTCTTTATTTCCATTTCAGTGTAAGAGCACTCACCAAGCAAACGCCGTTTTGAACGAAATTAATTGCCCTTTCTCGTTCTCAAGCCTAGAAAATTTATTATGTCTCTCCTTGACGCTGTAACAGATCTCCGATACGCGTCGAATAACTTTTAGACCGTGTACCGTTGCTTGTGACGCTCGCTGCGGTGAATTAATAAGACACTCGTTTCTTCCTCGGAGCAAAGAAACAAGGGAAAGGAGATCGTTTACGTTTAACAATTAATGTCAGTGTCTTTAGCGTAGGCGTAGTTTCAGAAAGTTTCGTTGCAGAATCGATTTCTAACTCTTGTCTCGTTGCTGGTAGAAGAAAGAAACTGGTATACATAGTGTACTGATAGATGCGTGGTATACGTAAGAAACGATGCTACGAGAAGTTTGAGATATAAAGTTGAAGTTTCATTGAACACCGACAACCAAGTGTCAAGTCGTCGATAGGAATGTTTATAAATTTCAATTTTCCTGTTATCGCTCGCACGTAACGTCGTCGTTGCAAGGGGGATCCAATCAGCTTTGTCATTAAAAATTCCTCGTTCGTATCAAAGGTCCTCCATATTCCATGTCCCAGGACAATTTATTCTTTATTTCGAGTACCGATTCATTTTTCTTGGCCTATCTAGTCACAGAGGGTTTGATAGACTCGTCCTTTCTCCAAGGTGTTCTCGTTTATCTTCACGTATGTACGTACACGCGCGCGCACACACGCACACACACACACACACACACACACACACGTCGTGCACATGCGCAAAGGGACGTTAGCCTCTCTATGTCCTATGGCAGCGCGTAGCGTAAAAGGACACGGTGGATGGTGAGGATTCAGTAAAGTGTCGTATGCTGCTTGACTTCATAAATAAAGATTCCCCGGTGCCATACCGCGGCGGCCGCTATCAGAGAGGCTTTTTAAAATCTGTTCCACGTAGAGAGAATGTGTAATACAAGCGAGAAACGCGCGCACCTCTCCAACCTATACGCTACGCTCGCATCACACAGCAGAGACATCATGTTCAACCGTGCTGATTCCTTTCGCCCTCTCGTGCTTCGGGAAATCGTGAAAATACATATCCACCGCCGATCGACGTCGATCGATCTGCCGCCGGCTGCGCGATTTATTTTTAATTTCGCAAGCTGAACTTTCCCACCTCTTTCCATCGTCTATCTTACTTCTACGTTTATTCCTATGTCAACGTAACTGGAGAGTTTAGAAGAACTTGACGAAGAACTTTGAAAAGGAATTTCCAAAATTGTTATTTCAACGAACAAAATTTGTTGTTCTTCGTTTCTAGTGATTAATCGTTCGTCATTAAGAACATAAATCCTCGACCAGGTCTTGTTCCCGCTCGTACGTCTGTAACGTAAATTACAATAGCGACGAGGAAATATGTATGTGTCATGTTAATGGGAAACGTGAAGAATGAAGCAATATAATTCTAGGTACATCCTGCTGCGAATGGTACAAGTATCTCTCGATCTCGACGATTCACGCTGCTCTTGCTCGGCCGTGATTCAATTTCCTTAAAAAATACGTCGGCACAGGGTAGTATATTTTTGAACGATTCCCCTTCAAATTATCAAGAACACGAAAGATCAGACTGTACGTGTTTTCATCTACTCGTGTAATTATCCTCTCCTGAAATGTTTTCGAAAGTCTCTTGTTACGGTCCATTTTTTATGCAAATACAATTTTTAACAAATCATGCGCTACAACAAATTCATGGCAGATCTTTTCATGTGACTAGGTTTACGCAAACGTGAGATGAACGCAGTGAAACGAAGGATATTCTTATCATAAAATTTTCAAACACTCAAAACGTCACGAAATAATGAAAGAAGCTACGTAGAGAATAAAACAACAAGGCGTGATCTTTCTCTGCAAGCGCAACGGGACGATCGACTCGTGACGAAGTCTGAAAATGACGGCAAAGAATTTCACGAAAAAGCACGTCTGCATTGGCGGGGACATTTTTACAAAAGAGCGTTTTTATAAACAGCTCGAGACGTAGCCCGCGGGACATGATGCACGCTGGTTGGAATCGACGTAAAACTATGCCGGCGCTTGCCGCGCTAACAAGACACTAGTTACGGTGTCATTACCTTTATGGAGGTGACTCGTTGTTACCTCGTGTAGTAGCACGAGCATGGTGAAAGCATCGAGCATGGTGACCATCTGAATGTCTCACTTCGTTAAGCCGTGGACGCTCAAAGCAGATTCTCCTCTGCAACCGCGCGCATAACATTTTCTTTTACGGGCCTTGGTGTTTTTCTTTTTTTTTTTTTTTTTTTTTTTTTTTTTCATGAATATACGCACACTGTCTACTTTTCTTAAAACCTGCTACACAAAAATATATATATGTATAATAAAGACAGTAAGGATAACATGAGCAAACAACGAGATAAATGATCAAACCTTGTTTTCAAATTTGTTTTACAATAAATGCAGGTTCATGATAGTTTCACTTTTAAACTAACCTTTAGCTATGAATGACAAGTAGTTATTATTTGTTACTCAAATTATGTGGAAAATAAAACATATTTAAGTAAAGTTTTAGACATTTGAGAATATTTTTTAGACTAATTCTACTTGACTTTTTCGTCTAACAAGAAAATTACGAATGTTTGAGTTTTGTAAATAATATTAATCAAGATAAAAGTATTGATTTCTCAGGAAAAGAAAAACCAGCGTGTATAGCATTCCCTTGTAATTAAATTCAATTTTACAGCAGCTGCGCAGACTCTGTGACGAGTATAATCGTCATCGCGTCGTTCCAGCGACACAATGTAGACACACACTTTTGAAAGAGGTTAACACTTGGGAATTACGATCGACTAATTTTTTTACAGAAATTATTTTCTGTTTCCAACAAGCTCGAAACTTGAAACTCACTTTTCGGCCTTTGTACAATTTGAAAACAAAGTCGTGCGAAGCGCACGCGTATCTCTCTACAAAACAGTTCCCGCTGTCATCGTATGTATTCTAAATTCACCTTTGCTTTGCCGGTGCACGCGAAGCACCCTCCACGAGCTCGTTACACGAACTGTTTGTTCTCTGACGGTTACAGATAAATCGAGCTCCGCTGTTACTGTAAATAAAAGTCGTCGCGGAAGTTCCTCGTAGCGCACTTACCAGTAATCTCGCGGTCGACGTGCACGGCGCACAGAGGCAGCGGATATCGTGTCGCAGGCGACGACGAACCTTCATTCTCCCGGAAACCGTATATAATTACAGACAGATTGTTTTCGCGATCCTGGATCTCCGTGTTCCCTTCTCGATCCCGTTCGTCCCGCCGTGTAATTATAAACTTCGCCAACGAAGAATGCTCTTTTATCGGAGCAAACTCTCTTCCTCCCCTCCCCTTCCCCCCCCCCTTTATATAACTCTTCTCCACCCTTTCTCCCAACCTCTCTCTTTCTCTCTCTCTCTGTTCTTTTACTACGCGGAGATATTCCAGATATTCTCCCCAGTTCGTTTTTCCACCGGCCCCCGGGTGAACTTTATCGCCAACTTCCGCGACGACGTAACGAGAGGATCGAAGAGTCGCGGCCACCGCAAGCGGGGGGCCGATCCATCGCGTCGCTTGATAATGGCCGCTCGAGCGAGCTGAAACGATTCAATTTCAACAGTTCAAAACATGCATGCGTCTTTGCGAGAAAGTTAATCCATCGCGATTGCGCCAGCCTGGAGGAATTAGTTTACTTAACACCACAACCACCAAAATGGTCAAAATGACCATTTGAATAATTTTGTTAAATATTTTTTATAGATATAAGACAGTATATTCTTGGAGACTTGAACGATTCTTCGTAAAATACATAAATAATAGCTTGTGTACCATAAAGATTTTCTGTTTCATTTATTCCAACGTCTCTGGTGAAAATTTTATGCTTTGGTCGTCGGTAATTCTAGTGCTAACAGCGAGCTTGATCCTCGAATTTGGGATCTGAGCCGTTTCTCCATTCTTTTCGAAATGTTTGTAAATTCAGTTCAACGGGACACTGCTTTCAAATTCCATACAAGGCAATCTTAACATTAGAGTTACCAAAGTGGTCGAAACGACCAATTTATAATCATTTAAAGTAATTTTGACAAGACTTGCAACGTTGCATTTTTTTTTGGATTTTTGTAAAATATAAAGTTTGTGTTCGTTATAAACGAAAATCTGTGTGAATTTAACAATGTCGGTAGACACACAAAATATTCTGCCTATAAATCAGGGGACTATTATAAGAGAAGGCTTTGAAAATCGACAACAGTCGCAACAGACAATAAAGAGTACAATAAACGAAATAAATTAATGTCTATCTGCAGCAACAGAAATTTTCATTTTAGTAAAAAAAAAACAAACATTATTTTCTGATTATTTCCCTGAAGATTACATTTTCTATAAATTTTTGAAATCTCTATTCATTTTTAACAATTTTTAGCATTTGAAGAGCGTTAATCGCGCGGTGATCGATACCAGATCCCGTTTAAATACCCTGGAAACGCCGATTCTCGCAACAACGTTAGCGATCGGCTTGTCGGCAGAAAAAGCAGTGACAATTCTTTCTCCGCGCCCGAACGACAGCAGCCGCGGCGAAGGCGGAAACGGAAGCAACATTGATTTCACGTCCCAGACACACCTTGCTGTCACGCGGCGCGCTTCATCCTTTTAAACAGGCCTGTCCCGTGCGCGTGTACCCACACCGACACGAACACACACTCGCGTATGTAGAAATACGCGCGCGACACGTAAAATG